CATCACATGTCTCATGTAACTTGAATTTAATGCTGTGGAAAGAGAATACGTGGTCCGATTGACAAATGCTCCTTCGCTGTAGTCAATAAAAAATCTGCTTTATTTCCCCCTATTCGACATCGACACCATTATGTGAAAGTATTTTATTAAAATGCGGTTACCTTGTTACCTACCTAACGTAATAATCAATTAACCGAACATTGATTTTATTCAATATCAAATTAATAAATAAGCCTAATTTTGACAATTTAAAATTTAGATACATTTCTCAAAATATTGTCTCTTTTCATTTATTTTTACATTTTTTTGCACATTGTTTTTATTCAATTCATATCTCTGGCCTTTTATGACTTTATGAAATATTTTCAGGATAAAAGATTTAAAAACAAAAATCTTCATATTTCACACAATATTTTTTTCAATAATTATATTATTTAAACTTTATTAATAATTATGTTAAACAAATTACTGTACCGAACTTGATAAATTTCGTAAATAAAGAGTATACATAGTTATTTTTATAAACACTTTTATAAATCTCACCGCATATCACGGAACTAAATTTAAAGTATTTTACTAATAAAAAGTTCGGTTTAAGAATATATTAAGATTATTCAATAAACATTATTATTGGAAAATCGATAATATTTAACCTACATAGTTCTTTAAAGATTCAGCAGACAAAGAATTGATAACTAAAGGCTGTCACCATTTGACCTTAATACTTAAATACAAAGAATTGGGGATTTCTTCGAACGCATAACTAACCATACGTGGGCTCCAGATTATTCTTTCCTTATAAAAAGTAATAAAAACTTTACAATGCCAAGAACTGGAGTAATTCCTTTATTTATTTAATACAATGCACAATTGTCTTTTTCCTGAATTGAATGCGTAATTTTCATTTCTCGTCTAGTGTTTTCCACCTGAAAGCCTTCGAACTTGTGTACTAAATAGATCTATGACCGTGGTTGCCCTTAGCGCGTGACGAGGTCTCACATACGTTTATTATCGGTATGCCCTTTACACGCATTTATTTTATTATTACTGAGTGTGACAAACATCGGTAAGACATTTTCCTCGATTTTTTAGACTTAGCGTCTAAGACAACGATTTTATTTGCTTGAGTTAATTTATAGCTTCTTCCTTATATTATTTACTCGTGTAGGTAAACACATTTTTACGTTATTTAGACTTTTTCCTGTAGACTAATTGCAAACAATAAATTGACGTTGCCATTGTATAACAACCAATTATTACCAAACGATAAAAGAAATTTAGTTACCTGAGAGAGAATCATAAATGGATACCTACTGCTGTTTTATTAATCGATTCGTGTTTCGTTTGCTTTAATCACACTTACGACTCATATTTTCGACCAGCTTTAGAAAGACAAAGGTTTTCAATTTGATTGTCTTTTTTATGTTTGTTACCTCCTAACTTCGTCAGTTTTAAACTCATATAGAAATTTCTTTTTTCATTTGAAAGGATATACTTACCCCTTACTTTTTACTTTAGTTTTTAAATCAAAATGACTGCTTTTATCAGAATTGAAGTTGGGTTTTTTGTCGGATACGATTTTTAATTATATTTTACTAGAACTCCTGACAAATTTTAAAAAGTAGTGGTAATGATTTTTGTTAACCTAGATTGGAAGAAAATGATTCTTTTTAAATCTAGTAAAATATCCTACGAATATAAATACGAATTAGAAAATATCATCATACTCATATACACTCGTACTCGTCATACAGAGAATCATATATACTCGAGATCATACATACTTGAAACGAATGGAACTATTAAAACTTTTCCCAAAGTAACTACTAAACAACTAAAAAAAGTAGTTTTCAACAACTTTGGATTATAAATTTAAATTGAATTAAGATGGTAATGATAATTTAAAAAGTTACAAAATATGCGTTTCGACTTATTAAGAGGTTTTAAAATTATTATTATTAAAATTATTATTTCTAATAATTATATTATGATGTCATATCACTAACCACATTTAATTGCATATTTAATTAAATTAGATTACATCTAGACATTTAATTTCTTCAATATACATAAGATTTATCCTGTATGCTTTAATTTGTTAATCCATATTTTTTGCATTGATTTCTTGATTATAGAATTTTTATCGTGCACTAGCTTTTTGCCTACTACATCGTAAGCGTGGATTTTAAATGTAGTAAAGCCAACAAAATAGACCACTTTTAGATGGCATATCAAACTAAAACATACACCAAATTTTAAGTTAGACTTTTAAGAATACGACTGTGAAAACCACATTCAATTTAGTATAGTAGTTCTTGCGTGATGCCGGATTGAACATATAGACAGGCAGACAAAATTTCTAAAAAATATTTTTTTATTGTCTATTGACCTCATTAATACCACTCATTTTAATTTTACTTGAATATCTCCCTATATAGGGACTATATAGTACAAAGATTTTTCAATTATAATTTTATTATGTTAGCATGATATTTATTACATATCGCACCTAGGCGATTCTTATGAAAGTATTCTGAATAAAAAGATTTTAATTTTATTATGCACTACAAAATGGACTCCAGCAACGCCCTATGTGTTGTTGTATTGTGTTGCAGGCTTTTCGAGTATATCTAACCCACAAGCTCCACGTCTAAAAACATGTACAAAATATGTTGAAAAAAATAATTTTGACTGGTCTTGAGCAACATGCGAACCTGCGAGACAACATGTTTGCTCTCACCGACAACGCTCTGCGTTCTCTCTTTCTATATCATCATTGTCTTTGAAGTCGTGAGTCAACATATGACAGAGATGTTTGAATTTGTATACTCTTTCGAGAGCAACATGAAAACAATAACATGAAATCAAGTTTTTACTATATTACATTTACCAACCTACATATATTACTGGGTACAGAGGAATAACGCCTGAGTCCTCAGGAATGGCAACGCATGGGGGGTATCATGGGCGAAACAGTATACTCTGTTATGTACATGGTACTGCTCATGTCTATAGGCGACGGTTACCATTTTCCATCAGGTGGGCCGTCAGCTTGTTTGCCATTCTAAGTTGTATAAAAAAAACATAAGTCCTCATTCATGACATGAATTAGGAAGTCCATAAAAAATTCCTTAGCACAATATAAATTAAGTAATCATACAAAATTTAAGAAGAATTGTAAGGTTTATTTTGTTTCAAAGGTCAAAGTCTCTACAGTAAGTATGTATTTCTTACGAATTCTTTATAATCTGGAAATAGTTTATAATTATTCTGTGGTTTTAATATAGGAATATTTAATCAGTTCTTTGTATAGACATCACGTCATTACTTTTATTTGATGTCATTATATTTCCGATGAATATCCTATATTCAAAGCTATTTTCTATTTGCAAATTCAATATACATATATATATATATATATATATATATTTTTTTTTTTTAATTAAATAAAAGGAGAAAAATCTAAAAATAGTGTACCGACCGTATTTCTATGGAATAAAAACGGCATTACTCGTACTTAAAAAGTATTTAAGATTAAGTAGTCACTACTTATTTACTGAAGTAGTAGTGGAAATTATAATAATGGAACCAATTTTTTCGAACCATGCGACCTCGCCTGCGCCCGTCACGGTGTTTGATGCAACACGACCACTATTGTGCGGGTCCTGGCATTTCGCAACACCTCGAATGAAGCACGGTCTGTAAACAAAGTAACATTCTATTAGCAATGTCACCAATGGAAAAGTTAAAAATATATGAAATTGAAAAGCTTTAAAATGGACACATGACCTCTGAAAGTAAGTTTATATCGATCCCTCATTTTTTCCAACATTTCAGAATATTACTTTGTCTAGTTTATCTACAGTCCCTGAACTGCCATAGCTTCTGTTGTAAGTCGATATTTCGCGAGTAATTACAAGACCATTATTTTATTTACTACTGACATTGAATAGAATTGACGCATCATTCCCAGTTTCGTATATATATTTATATACAGTTCCGTTGTAAACTCAATTATCTGCTATCGAAACCGTTTTATAACGTTACCGAACAAATTGAACGTAATGGAATAACTGCATCAATCCACGAATTGTATAAAAACTCCGTTTAGCGATTACCAAAACTGTATTTGAAAGTAAAGCGTCGAATAGTAAATACGTTTTGTTCTGCAGGGTGACAAATTATGATTCATTGTTCGTGTCGTCTCATGTAAACTCGGTAGATACTAGTACAATGTTGGTCTCCCGTGTCGAGCGGGCCGAGCGCAACGAGCGCACGTCGATTGAATGTTGAATGCTTATCATTCGTGGCCGTTGAGTCACCAGCAACCCGCTTTCTGCCTCTCAATGAAAGTTATCGACCCTTAATATATGTAGTTTGATGTTAAACAGTAGTCGCATGCATTGAATTAAATATTATTTTTAATAAGACTATATACTTAGTAGATTCGATATGAAAACTTTAACAGCTGATGGCTAAGCTTCAGATGAGTAATCGTCATTTAGAGAGATATCTAAAAAAACTACATCCATAGATATTACATAAATTAGTAGCGTACCTCATGCAATTCCATTCCTGAAGACTAAGTTATCTCCTGTAAGCGTAAATTATTAAATTAATGTGTTAAATATCTTTTAACTAACTTACATCATAAATAAAGTTTCAAACTTTTTTTACATTACTTTTATGTATACTATTTATTATATGATCTAAGATTGTGTTCATACTTATTTCGGCAACTTACGTTGCTTAAAGATTAGTTTGTTGTTTTATATAAATTACGTCACTTTGTTAATTTACTGTTGGACCAATTCAATGTATCCCTTGGTATTCAATATAGTAGTCTTGTAGTATGTACAAAAGTTTTCATTTTCTGACATTTATCTATCTCAACATTGAAGTTAAAATGTTTCGTATTTCTTCAATTCTAAATTATTTACAATACAAAATATATTTATAGCAATATTAACAATATTAAACATGAATTTGGTTTGTTTCAGATGGTATTTCCGCAAAATAAAGCGAATTGAGGCAGAGAAGAAGTTACTTCTGCCGGAGAACGAGCACGGCGCTTTCCTTATCCGTGATTCGGAAAGTCGCCACAACGACTTCTCGTTATCCGGTAAGTTTTCTTTTTCATTTAAGAGTTTCCTCTTGTCGGTGCAACTAATTCATGCATTATTAATTTATTAATTATTAAGTTATTAATAGTTATTATACCTTTTTTAGACAACATTATTAAAACTGAACATTTTTCCTAAACATGTTGATCGGAAAACGACCGAAAATGTTAATACGGCGTATCCGATTGTCAAAATATTATGGGAGACTATGAAACATTTTTCCCAACATTTTAATGTCATCCTAAAAACTAACTATAATTAAATGGTAAAGGACAAAAATTCTGAATACTATTCCCGCTTAGATATAGTCCTAAACAACTAGTCTTATATAATATTAAAGTTATAAACTTAAATTCTTTCTTTGATAGAATAAAATACATACAAAGTGATAGTTTTTAAAACTGGCTAAGTTATAATGAATGATTCCTTAAAAACAAACACCTAATATTAGAAGATGGAGGGAATTTAGCTTACTAAATAATGTGCTTTGTAACTTTTGACGTAATTAAATTAGGATAAAATCGAATACACGTCAAATAGACGTTACCTTACCTTATATTTCTCGCTTATTCAATATGATTACTTGATAAGCTTCTTGATTGTTGTTTGTACACACATATATACTATATCTCTTTATTACAAACTATCATCACTTATTGTATTACGTATTATATTACGTATAGGTATCGATATGACAATTATAGATTATTATTATCATAATTTTTATTTTTAGTCAACGTGATTATATTACTTTTTGTTATTATATAAATTGTAATAAATAACCATACATACGTTATACTCATATGAAACAAGCATAATTCGGAAATAATTTAGTATACCTTCTTCATGTTACACTAATTTATTTGTTCACAATAATAGATGTTTATTGCATTATGAACTAGTCATAACATTTTGCATAGTCAAGTTATTGGAATACTGACACCGGACTCCACTAGTAGTACATAATAAATGATAGTAATAAAGAAATAAAAGTATTAATCCCCTTCGTATTTTCGCATAACTACCGTATGTTGAACAATAATACTTTCTTGCTCTATTTATCAAATTTGATTTGTCTTAGGTTCAAAAGAAAGTCGAGTTGAGAGGCAGCAGAGTATAAATTTACGTAACTAGCTGACCCCACGAACTTCGTACCGCCTAACAGTCGATTCTTTATTTTTTTAGTTTTTTTTTTTAATACTTTTCTACTATTCTGGACGCCGGAGCAGCTAGATTTGTACGATACTAACGTTACTCAATTATTTTACCTTCTCGGAACTTCTCCACTAACACTTGAACTTTATAGTATGATATTAAAGTTCAAATTGACTTTTAAGTATTATTACGAATCGTTTGTATGAGAGTATAGAAAAGCGTTTAGCGTTTTTAGACATTTTCAGGCATTTTTTTTTTAATTTTTCTCCGTAAGAACTATCCTCGTACTTCAAAAAAAGGATTAGCGAATTCAGTTCAGCTGTTCTCGCTTTTTGCACTTAGCAACACATTCAGCGATTCATTTTTATATTATAGAGATGAATCGCTATTAATTTTTTGCGCAACTTGCAATGACAACAATTAACTCCAGTAGATGAAGTAATTAACATACCTGTATCTCGTCCTACTATTATATTTTCTCCTTTTTTTGGGTATTACATATAATGATTGTATAAACGTATTATTTATTTAGTATGATTAATTATATGGTAGTCAGTATTAAAATCGGCACGTTTAATTTATCGTTGATATAATTCATATCTCACGAACCTTGTACCGCTTATCATGATAGTGTTAACTGCAGCATTACAAATAAACGTCCACGTCTAGAAGATTCGATCCCGATGCTAAACCGGTTGCAGTTTTTCTAAAGCCCTAGAATAGGAGCCGTGGGAACAAAGGCCTGCTCGCTAAAGGCTAGTTCTATTTCTCATACTAATTACTATTCTTCATTCACTAGTGAGCCGTTCGATGGTATCTGTTTAAATACAAATTGGACAGGTTACTGCTAATTTATTAAATATGTACATAGTTCATCGTCGTGATCTCGTTGTATCTGCACTGAATAGCAAATAAACTGTTGGATTTTTTTGTACCCGACACTTTCTCGAATGTTATATTCGATTACAATAATAAGTATAACTAAACAAACCGGTTTTATACTAGTATGCTGTAACTTTGTGACTCATAATTTTATCATTATAGTTTTTTACCACAAAACTCGTTATTATATTGTATTAAATCCTAATTATTATACTTATCTAAAATCCTATTTATCGCAAATGCGCCATCTACGACTTTATTAGATTATCTGTAGTGACTTTTGATTTTTTTGATTACTTACTAGTTCTGCCGCGCGCTCATCCATCATCATCCAAATGTAGAAAGCATAACATTTTTAATCTTCAATAGTGATGACATATATTACGAACATCAAAGTAGATGACATGTCATGTCCACAGTAATAAATGATATAATAGTTACTATGTAATAAAGATAAATATTTGCTCTATATAGTGACCGTAAAAAAAATATTGCCAACATACTAACAAAATCGCATTTATGCACTCAGAGTTCAAGATGTTGGAAGGAATTATAATCAGAAATGTATACCATAGTGTTCTTACTATAGTATTCGTATATCGTATCATATACATACATCGTAAACGCTTATCACTTTCGATTGTATAAGAGCGTAATTTATCGTAGCACGGTATGATACGATTTTGTCGTCACTATACAATAAGAGACAAAAAAAGACACCTAGATTTTATTTAAGAAAATATAAATATTAGAAGCGTAAAGTGAGGAAAACATGCTATACCCAAGAAATTTCCCAATATAGTGAAAAAAGGACCGAAATTTTAAATTACAATTAACCAGTAAACCTGAGATATAAATGCGCCAGTATTTCCACTAAACCTCGAATTTAAGTATTACACAAATTACGCAAGGTCGCACATAGCATTACGTCCAATCGTTGAGTAAATACCAGACAATACACATTATGCAGAAAATTAAAATTTCAGTTCACTTCTGGGTAAAATCTCACGAGTGCGTAATACGTCTTAGAAGACACGGAATTCCTGCAACGCGGGCGGTATTGCACATATTAATTCAACGATTGCACTTGAATTGCATACCGGTGTTCTATTACATCACAGATATTGACATAACTGGGGCAATCCATCCATACTTTAAATGATTTACTACTATATTTATCCTGCTTCTATCTTTGAAGGTTCTATGCCACATGCAGTAAATTCTTAGACCAGAATGCAAATCACGTATATATGCAGATTTAACATTATTATTTCACTAAATGAGCAGACAAACAATGAGGAAATTGTTAAACTTGTTTTCCTATAATTAGATTTATATCGCATTTCTGCGGAAAACCCTGTGAATAATTATGTTTTTATTAGAACGTTATTTGATAATAATACTGAATCCTCTTATTTTAATCGTAGGTAAGTATTCTACACAAATAAGCAATCCTGTGTTTATATTAGAAGATGGCATAATATCTGAATTAAATATGAAATTAGAAAATGCTATGAGTTGAAATAAAAGAAACAAATCTCACAGCCATAATAAAAACAAGATTTAATATCAAGATTGCAACTTGGAATAATGCAGCGTATTTTGGCATCGCTTTAAGTGCTTTCAATTTTCATTATATGATTTTATTATACTATATTGTCATATTAGATTCCTTACGATTATGAGATAGGAAAAAATCAAAGAACGCCATTTGTTCCAAATTTTATCTGCAACTAATTTAATCCAATAATTATTTGATAATTTAGGATCTAATTCCTCCTGATCGATATCACTTTATATAGCACAGATATGATATTATTGTATTTTAATCTAAAATCAATGAGCAATATCGTATATATTTATGCTATATTTAAAAGAAACCGCCTATCTTTTCATCTGTTTACCGTAAATTAAACAATGACTTCACATATACCGGCGAACTAAAAATATGAGGTACTAAGTGTATCCAGCGGCTTTGTCTGAGTGAATCAGTACATAAAGTATCCTGTGTGCTAAGTTAGAATATAATCTACCCGAGTACCAAATTCTATTTAAATCCGTTTAGAAGTATTTGCGTAAAAGAGTAACAAACATCAATCCATCCATCCTTACAAACTTTCTCATTTATAATATTAACAAGATAACCATTTACTGAAGAGACAGAGGATTGCCCTACATTACGCTCTGACTTCATCACGATTATTATGTTGTAATTAATTATGACAATACAACATGTAGGTTGTTTATCATGGGGAGTTCTCTGATAAATTGTTTGGATTTATACCTTCTGCTGATTTTCACCACCGTACAACCCGCCACAAACTAAAGTGCATTCCTAACCATCTGGATGAGTGGCGGTCCTGCGCCGTGCGTTTTTCAAGGCACTTTCTTCCACGCACAACCACTCTTTAGTATCAGCTTCCAGCAGCAGTATTTCCAAATTAATACGACAACATAACCTTCTGCAGCATAACTGCAACATAACCTTAAGCGGTTGTGTTTGCATGGTTGTGTTTTGGTTTGAAGTGTGTGATATGGCAGTGAATTTACAGGGTACAGAGGAATAACACCTGAGCGCTCAAGGGCGAAACAGTATACTCTGTTATGTCCATGGTACTACTCATCATCAGGTTTCCATCAACGCCGTCAACTTGTTTGCCATTCTAAGTGGCATAAAAAAAAAACTCAAAAACTACTCAACCAATTTTAAAAATCTACTAGTAATATATGCAATATTTTATTTTCAATTTCAATTCTATTTACCCGTGTGAAGCCGGGCGATATTGCTTGTATCTTACATATATCTTACATTTGTAAAAGTTTTACAATTTGTAAGAGACGATCTTATGAAAGGACACATAAATTAAAATCCTTTTAAACTCGACAGTCCGCAGTGCCGCGTCCAATCTTGGGTTTCCCGGGCAAACATAGTTTGTTCATCAGATTTATACATATCTACATCAATAATATGAAATCATGTGAAGAGTCTAATCCACATCTAAAGAATTAATTTAATAGATCCTTAACCGTTTATAGGTAATTGTAATTAATTTCCTAGAATAGAGGAAACTAATACTAATATTATTGTTGTTTTATAATTCTGACATTGAATATTTTATGTGTATTTTACGCATTTTGTTTTATGAATACTTATATAATATCATGAAATATATTTTCTTAATAGGATTCTATCACGGCAAATATAAGTTTACAGTCGAACTAGTATATTTTGCTCCGCAAAAGTTTAAGAAATTTATTAAGAAATTCAACAAAAGATGAATCATATTGATTGCAAAATAATTATTTAAATCGGTCCTGAATTGGCAACGTAATTGTCTCTGTTTGAGATAAATCCACCTATGTACCTACTGTACATTTCTTTTATGTATTAAATTCTTCTCTGTGTAATGTGCATATAATATTTACTAACAAACAGACGTTACCTATAAAAAAATTACAGTCATGAGCTAACGATCAATATATCTTGTTACATTAACTGTATATGCCACTAAATGTCACATCACACAAATCTTAAAGGTCATTCTCCTTTAAAATATAAATTTGTATACTGGTAGATCGAGTTTCTGTGTGGTGGGAGGAGTGAGATACTACAATGTGTCACCACGCTATCATCCCTAGAATATCGTAAGAGGCAAAAATTATATATACAACGCCCACGTGGATCCTTTAGCGTCTGATCCCGTGGGAGTAATCGAAATTAAAATTCTCATTCATCTATTTTTTTAACTATCTCTACAATTTTTAAAATCGATAGAGTAATTCACGTGTTAGTCCCATATTTTGTAACAATTAAAGCTTCTCTTGTTTGCGATAAAGAAAACTACATGTTGCAAAGCAAAATCTACTTATAAATATGTGATATCAATCTCTATGTACCATATCAGCCGTTAACTGTCCACTACTAAACATAGGCCTCCCCTAGCATAAGGAGTTTTGCCAGCAGTAGTTAGGCTTTGGAGAGGTTTTAGAGATATGTCCGCCCCTCAACCATTTAGTTCTCTTAGTCATTTCATACGATACCCACAGGAAAGGAAGGGGTGGCTATTCTCTGGCGGTATCACTCGGTACAAATTTTATATACGTGAAATATTTTCATTGCAAGGTATCTTGTCACGTGTTAGTATGTGTATGTATATACAAGATTGTAGTTGACTTTTTGAGGGACACAAAATGTACTCTGTTACTCTGTATACAAGGAATTTCTGTGCAAAATATTATAAATCTTATTACCAAGCTCTGTGTATATCAATCAGTTTCTACTTTTATTTTAATTATTTCGATATATTTTTACTAAATAATTACTAATTTTGGAGGAAACAATAAAGAGTATCTTTAAGTACATTTCTTGAAATTTTGAAATAAAATTCCGAGTTTTAATCGTATGTTATTTCTTTATAGTGCGAGATGGCGACACCGTGAAACACTACCGAATAAGACAACTGGACGAGGGCGGGTTCTTCATTGCCAGACGTACCACCTTCCGTACACTCCAAGAGCTCGTGGAACACTACAGCAAGGATGCTGACGGACTGTGCGTTTCGCTCAGTAAGCCCTGTGTGCAGGTCAGACATATTTTATATTTTTGTCATTATGTCTTCTCTTTACACTAGACATACATACATACATACATACATATCTGTCACGCCTGTCTCCCATTAGGGTAGGCAGAAACAATGGAACGCCAAATGCTTCGATTCAAACAAACCTCTTTCGCTTCTTCCACATTCATCAATCTTGTCATACACGCTCGTCGGTTACGGGTACTTTTAACACTAGACATGTTATGTATTTAAAGATTTAAATTATTTTAAAATCATACAGTGAATACAGGCTATGGACGTGAGAGTGGCGTCTTCGAATTTATTAAACATGATTAAGAGATATAATGAGTTTACGGATTCGGTCATATGTCCATTTGTCTGTTATTGGTCTGGACGTCTTCTATATATTTAAGAAAAAAATTCATTTACTAGTTCTGCTTAAACTAATGTTAAGTAATAGACGTTGTGTGTATGTCCACCCCTCCTAGACAATTGGCAAACAAAAGTATCGATAGATACAGTCTAGCCACTGTATATATATATATATATATATATATATATATATATATATATATATATATATATATATATATATATATATATATATATATATATACGTACCGGTTAGACGGAGACAATTGCAGTCTCTTTTAACGTTTTATTTTTGTCAAATGAGGAATAACGAAAATGTCTAGCGAGACAGGACTATATAATTTGATTACATTTTGTGAACTTTACATTTAGTAGCTAGTAGTACTAACCACTACCATATTTTGGCATCCTTATAAAAATTTAAGTAATCTTGCCTGATTATTCATCCTCTTGACTCATATACTAATAACAATAGTAAGTCGATATCCAAATATTTGAACAGTCGTTTCGGTGAGTGTCTAGAGGTCACAGTTTCCCACTTACCTCTGTTCCCTTTTTTTAATCACTATACTACAATATTAGTGATTCTACTTTTAGTTTGTGTAACGATATTGTTGAATAGACAAGTTTTTACATAATATTTAAGTCGAAAAGTGTATAAAATTAACAAAAACAATATAACAATAAGATCAATGGTTTTTATATAAATTACAGTACTAGGCTTCTTTGTCCGTATCTATGTGTATAGTTTACTTGATCAAGTTTCGTCCAGGATTTCCTGGACAAAACTTGATCAAGTAAAGACTATGTAGTCATTACGTTTTCTCAGAATTAGAGCATACAACCGTGGAAGAATATTCTTTATTTATTTAAATATTTATCACGTTATTCCCGTACTAGTAGAATAAATTCTTCAATGCTATGCTATGCTATGCTAGCTGTGTGAACTAGAAATAAAGTGGTACTGAATCAAAATAACTGTTAGTGTATTTATCTACAAATGCTCTCTAGGTCAAAAATATTGTTTTGACCTTCAAGTAATAAAGAAAAAGGTCAAACAGAAATTCGCCAAACGCGCTTGTAAAAAATATATGCAAGTAGTGATCATTATCAAGATCTGAGATAGAGGTCACTTTTGTTGATGCGATCCAGTTTACCAAAACTCGGATCTGTTGCTGTTTCAAGACTAATAAAGTGCGGTTTGTATTCTATCTTCACAAATAATGGACGTACAGTCCATTATTAGTTTAAATGAAATTTTATTAAAAGTTGTTCTTTTCCAGCGAGATAAGAAGTTTCTCAAGTTTTCTGAATTTTTATAGGTTACAATTTTGAACTGATATTGTAATTTTTTGCAATCTATTAATTTATTCACAACCTTTTTCTTTGCGGGGAGGTAAATACTGCTTTTTGTATGGTAATGTCTTAAAAACTGTATGTAAAATTCAAATTTTTGTTACGGTTTAATCCATTTTGGCATACCTATTCTTTTGCGTATCAAAATCTTATACTTTTTAAAGCAAAATTTTAATATATTTCATTTGGGTAAGCTAATTTTTCTATTCTATATTTGTTATATGAATTTGCTCTTTTTAGTATTTAATACAAATTATTATTTATTATTCCTTACGTAAAGGTTCTGAAAATATATGTTTATACTGCATGTCATTGTTAACAAATAATTTTCCATCACGATTCACTGTCAGCTGTCAATCATAATGTGTATACAGTGACATTGCTTGGAAAACAATTATACGGACATGACGATTAGCACATTCTATTGTACGAATTTAAACGCTATTACCGCTTCATAGAATATGTTTTTAACATACAAAATAAAACAAGTAAATAGGCAATTCGCTGCATATACATATATGTAGATACCTGCAGAGCTAGTAAAAATTGTCCGTCTGTTACAAATTGTTCAGACAACCGTCGCTAATGTTTATAATGACGTATTTGTTATAAAGGAAACGTAAACGTCGAGCGATGTCCGTTTAGTTATTATCTCACATTTCTAATGCATTCACAATTTATAACATCATTGTAGTAAATCTGAATTGGTCTCGTAATTTGAATTTTGTTACACAAATCCATAAACAAAGTTATATTATATTAAAAATAAAAAAAAAAAATCAGATGTTTGCTCCATTATAAAAGCAACTTCAGTTATAATAATTAATACGGAATCAACATGTATTATCAATTACAAAAATAATTGTCATAATTAAAAAAAAATCACTAACTTCAATCGTGGCAAAACCATTTATTTTGATTAAAAAACTAGTCTATTGAACCGATTTTGATAAAATTTGTATGGGACTAATCTGATAACATATCCTTAAATACAGAATTTTCCAAATTGGTTGGAAAATACAGCCGAATTGTGAAACTCTTTTTAGACTTTTTTTAAAACACTGTATAATATCATTATCCTCATATCAGCCTTTAACTGTCCACTGCTGAACGCAAGTCTCCCTCTTGCAGCGTTTTGGCAGTAGTTGCCACGATTAGTAGGCGAAATGCAACCGCAGTCAGGCTTTTCAGACGTTTTAAGAGGGCCGCTGCTGCCCATCCCTCGCCCTCCCTTGGCCTATTCAATGCCAGGAGCATACCGGCAACTATATATACTATATAAAATAGATCGGCTAAATGTCATTAAAAAATAAAAATAATAATCTTCTTAATCATGCTTCATCGGAACTAACAAGGCAATATTGCTATAGCCACGTCATCATAATGATATAACCAACCACGCATTGAATTTACGAAATCGTTAAATACCTTTAAGAGGTCGTATGAACAAATAAAAAAACCCCTGATATTTTCCTATTGCGTTTCGTAAACAATTCGCAATTATGACGCAGATATCGACCTAGCTATACGTTAATGTTCTACTAAGGTATATAATATTAGCTGGCCCACACAAATTTATTCCTCGGTATCCCACTTTCATCTTTAAAACAATGCGTGACTATGTCAATATACTATTATGATCAATATACGCAATGTGTAGTACTATTATTATTTAAGATCAATTGTAAAAATCACATTTCAGTAAATAAATTATTATTAATAATACTTTATTATTATATTTGTTAGTTACTTAATATTTATTTTTAATTTTAAATCACACACATTATAGCCATTATCCCTTGTCAAATAACTTCAAAATTAAAGTAGTTATCAATTTGACTGTATATTTGTACTATTGATTCTCGTAGTCTCATATTTTTTTTTTTGTCATGATTAAAGTCAGCTTTTAATTATTAATCAAAATCTTAAATGACAATTAAACAAAAGCCGTACCTACGTCTTCATTTAAAATAAATGATAACAATGTAATTGTTGTGTACAATAAAGTATAAATAAATAAAAAAAATAAATTTTCATCAATCATCAATTAATCATTTTTACCTTTAAAAGCTTAATAATAACCAACTGTAACCAGCAACTTTGTCCTTCTATTTTAAGATTAAAGTTATCGTATTTGTTAATCTAGGACATGGTCCATCTGCCTACTTAATTTGAAATCCATTCAACCGTTAAAGAATGATTGAGTAACAAACATCCAAATATCTAGATATTCAAAACATCTTTACAAACTTTCACATTCGTATATATTATATTAGTAGAATTGTTTAACAAGTTTAAAAATACAGATTTCTTTATAATATCGCTCTCTATTTTCTACATCATTCATTTTTCAATTCTTTGCTATCTATATCCATAACTTCATCATAGTTACTTATGACTCATTGATTGATTTTTCTATTATTCTATTTTTACAACTTAGTATATTTAATAAACAATCTTTTGGCATATCTTTTTTATCGAACTTAATAATAACAGGCAATAAAAGAATCTTCTTAATTTTGCTTTTGTTAATTTGGGCGCTTTTGTGCACTATTTCGAAAAAATATATATCAAGATTTATTAATGGTGCCAAGTTTAGGAAAACAGTATATATATTAAAGTTTATGACACTTGGTACAGCTGTAAATATACCAAGAAGAGTCAAAACCCTTACTTTCGCATTAGTAATGGTAGCTAAAATATAATCTAATCTAACGGTTATCTACTCTATGGGTTAAGTACCTGATAATAAAGATTATTATTATTATTATTATGTTATTTCCCATTTTATCAGGAGCCGCGCACAATTTAATCACATTATAAATTTCTTGAATATCTATTTGTGAAGAATATGAATTTCATACCAACAGGTTAATTGTGAATGAGTAATGGCCCACGCCAAACAGTCACGTCTTAACAATTATCTTAATTTTCTAAAAAAAAATATTAACAAAATGACGTTATATGCAAAAATATTTGACCTTTCCTTATTGTCCAATTCAATAGGGCCACTACAGTATTAAAATGTTGAAAATACTTGTCAATGAATCTTAGTTTATGTATCACTAAGTGTATCCTGTAGCTTCACCCGCATAAATCACTAGATAAAGTAACCTAGGTTCTAAGTTAGAATATAACCTACCCATCTAACAAATTTCAATGAAATCGATTCAGTAGTTTTTGAGGGAAAAATTTACATCCATTCATTCTTACAAACTTTAGCATTAATATTATTAATAGGATTTATGAATATATATATATATATAATCTAGTTTTTTAAACATTTAGAAAAT